CTAATAAGATTAGATATTTCATATATAATTTCCCATCATACACTTAGGGTAAACGTCTCAAAGAAAAAAAATTTGCCCCATAAGAGTTTACTCGAAACCAACAAGATTAGAGTTTCATTGAAACTAATAATAAGACTAGATATTTCATATAGTTCCCTGTCATACCCTTGATTGATGTAAGGGTCCCAAAGAAGAATAAATTGTCCGAGAAACTAACAAGACTAGAAACTTCATATAAATTTTTTGAATAGTACCATCAAACTAAGAGAACCAGCTCCAACTCAAAATATGTATAAAAAGAAATTCAGATTCTCCTTATTATCACTTTCATTTTGATTTCAAGCTCAAAAATATCTGCAAGGAAAGGAGAGGCCAAGCAGCGGTCCACACCTTGGGAGACTGTTTGGTATTTCCTTGGAAAATGGTCATCTATCGCACTCCCTTCTTCCTTCTTCTAGTAGTCTTCGCCGGAAATTGTGGTGCCGGCAAAGATTATGAGTGCAAGGTGACAAGATGCAGCGAATTCGGACCTGACATCCGGTTCCCCTTCCGGATAAAAGACCGTCAGCCAGCTCACTGTGGCTATGGCCCTGCCTTTGACCTCTCTTGCACACAAAACAATGATACTGTGTTTGATTATGACCTCCAATTTCCAGTGAGAGCATCGACCAAGAGAATTCTGCTTCCATTATCACTCAAGGTTTTGGTCACGGATATCCACTATGAATCTCAGTGGATGAGTATCAATGTCGTGAATGCAAGTTGTCTCCCACGGTGGCTTCCAATTCCAACCCTGTATAATAATAGTTCATCATCTGCCGGCTCTCCATTCACGTTTGACTTCCTAGCCCCCGCAAGCGACTATACACTATTCAGTTGTCCCTCAAACAAAAGGCCCTCAACATACCTTATATTTCAGGTCACCTGCCTAGTGGTGGTCCTGGTCACCAAGTGTATGCCGCTCCTTCTTCGGGGTTGTTCATGTATGAATTAGTAACGGACCTAACATCCTGCACCAAGATGTATAACATTTCAGACGTTCCACTAGAAGTACTTTTGGGGGATGATATTGAATCAGACCTTCACTCTGTTGTAGCTTTTCTGGGATGGTCCAAACCTTTTTGTGGAAATTGTGAAGCAGAAAATAAGTACTGCCAATTGAAGAAAAACAGCACAATCCAAGATCAAACTGAATGCCTCGATGAGCCATATATAGGTACCCCTGACTAGTTTTCCAAGTCGTCGTATTCAATCAAGTCCCTCACATCATATATATCTCTTCTTTGAATTTACAATTCTTTTGTCCTTTTCAGGTGCATCCTCACATTCGCATAAACAAGTTGTTGCAGGTGCATCCTCACATATACAAGTTGTTGCAGGTATACACTATTTTTTTTGTATCGTTATCTGTATCAAGGAATTATATGAGAATGGTTTATAATTTGTTAAGTATGCTTTTTGTTGCAGGTATCATCGCTGGTGTGTTCCTTCTTGTGCTAGTCGTTGTTTCACTGTGTCTTGTTATCAGGTCAAATATAAGAAAGAAAGAGGATCAAGTGAAGATTGAAAATTTTTTGGAGGATTACAAAGCTCTTAAGCCGGCAAGATACTCTTATGCTGATATAAAGAAGATTACGCACCAATTTAAGGATAAACTGGGCCAAGGAGGTTATGGAACCGTGTTCAAAGGAAAGCTTTCAAATGATATACTCGTTGCAGTCAAGGTTCTTAAGAGTGTCAAAGGAAATGGAGAAGAGTTCATCAATGAAGTGGGCACAATAGGCAGAATACACCATGTCAATGTGGTTCGCCTTGTTGGATACTGTGCTGATGGATTTAGAAGGGCTCTTGTTTACGAGTTTTTACCGAATGATTCCCTGGAAAAGTTTATACCAATGGAAAATCAAAAACGTGTCCTCGGGTGGGATATGCTGCAGAAAATTGCTCTGGGGATAGCCAAAGGAATTGACTATCTTCACCAAGGGTGCGACAAAAGAATCCTTCATTTTGATATTAAGCCTCATAACATCTTGTTGGACCACAACTTTAATCCGAAGATCTCTGATTTTGGTCTGGCAAAGATGTGTTCCAAGGATCAAAGCATTGTGTCCATGACTACTACTAGAGGCACCATTGGTTATATTGCACCAGAAGTGTTCTCAAGGAATTTCGGAAATGTGTCGTATAAATCAGATGTCTATAGTTTTGGAATGTTGTTGCTTGAAATGGTCGGAGTGAAGAAGAAAGTTGATGTCGGAGCATCAGACACCAGTGAATCCTACTTCCCAGAGTGGATTTACAATAGTTTGGATCAAGAGAAAGAATTGGAAATCCAAGTTGAGGAAGAAGATGATACAAAGAGAGCAAGGAAATTGACAATTGTGGGACTTTGGTGCGTTCAGTGGCACCCAGTAGACCGGCCTGCAATGAAAACTGTGATTCAAATGCTAGAAGGAGAAGACAATTTGAGCTTGCCACCAAATCCTTTTGGCTCTACAAATCCAATGAATACGGGTGCAACCATGTTTTCAAGAACATTTAACAGCGAGCTTGAAACCATTTCGGAATTGGAGTGAGAAATATTGTTAGTGTTTTAGTAGTGCAATAATGCTGCTAGTACTGTAAGTCATCTGACAACATGGGATGTTTGAATTTGGATCCTCTTAACTATAATTTCTCTTGATTTTTTTCGATTTTGGTCTACTTACTAATACCTGATTGGTGATCTACTATTGAAAAAACTGAGAGAGGTATATCATATGATTTTTTAATCAAGAGAAGTTATGCTTATCCGTAGATGCAGATTATTGTTCTATTTTGTTATGCAGTCACCCAAGACTAAATAATTAAAACGGGGTTATTCCATATTAAGCATAGAGGGCTTTGATTTTTCTTTGTACCCAAAAGTCTGGGGAAAGTAATCAATCTATGGAGTCACTAGACCCCATTAAGGGCAAGTTGATTGTTTGTTTAAAGATTCCTAATAGTGGGCCACTATTTTTTGACGAGACATTGTAGACTTGATTTTTTGGGGTTGCCAATGGTGGTTTGTGGCTGAAATGTTGGTTGTTGTTGGTCACTATCATAGGCTATATATATGCTAGCTTTAACGCATGTTTCTTAGCCGTGTGGGTCACATAGCATTATTAAGATAGAAAATAATTCTGAATATGACTATCAATCAACACTATGTGTGTAATCTTTAACAAGTTCATGTTATAAACAAGTTGACATGCTAAATTCACTTGACAAATTAACGGATCAATTATAACTTGATTAAACACAACTAAATTTTAAACACGATAATAAATAAATTCAATATAAATTAAATAAATTTTGATACAGTACTTGATACATAATTCAAAAATGCACACTAGCACGATTCATTAACAATTAGAATCAAAATCAAGGAATATTCATCGTTGGTACTGATACCTACAGTACAATTTTAGTTTAGAATTCACTGCTATCCTACAATAGATTTCATATGACCATGAAATTGTTAAGTGTGATGGAAATAAAGTCTAATTTGTAAAAAAAAAAAAAAAGGGAAAGAAGGATCCACGACGTACTATGCAATCTAATAAAATAATTTGATAATCTGCAAAATTCTATGTTATGCCTCATGAGAATATAAAATTTTAAATCAAAATTAAGTAGCAGCAATATCTCACTCAACTTTGGTTAATTCCTCTAATGATATTTCACTATTTGCATGTTTCAGGAAAAAAAAAATCATTTTTCTGTATGCTTAAACAATCCCAAATTTTAATGCAGTACAAAAGCCTAGAGTGCATCGTACTTTGAAGGGTATGTTTGGTATATGGGTTTGGATAGGATTTAAGAGGTGAATTTTATAAAAATAAATCCAATACACCTTCTAAACTAGTATTTGGTTGAAATTTTGAGACTCAGGATTCTAAATAAGTCCTTCTTAGCCCGTAAAGAATAATTGATTAAAACCCACAAATGGAGCCATGGAGTTTAATGCAGCCTATGGAAATTGGGTTTCAAAATGAAAGATTTGATTTAATAACAAAAAGACTACTTTACACAAAAATTTATTATTTTATTCCCATAATAATGAACATTTTAGTAAATTGAGTAATATGATTTGATATAAATTAATGAATCCTACGTCTATTTAATAAAATACATAACAACTTAAATTTTTATCCCTTACATATTTTTTTTTCCTAACAACATCACATCACTCATTTCTATTACATGTTCAATAATTCAATATTTGATTAATTTGTAGTTTAACATAATTTTTATTTTAAACATTATTCATATACAATAGTATATACATGTTAAAAAAAAATTAATATAATGGGATCGATTTTTATATTTCATCGTACTTTCAAACACGGGTTATGACTAATATATTTAGATCACCTACCAAACATAGAATTTGATTTGAATTTTTTTTTGAATCCGATGTGTAAATCCTTTGGGCTGGGTTTGGAAACGTTCCATAAATCCAGTCCAAAACCCCCCAAATTAAACATCCAAACATGCTATAAATTTAAGTTTGTTAATCTTTATAAATATGTGACCGAATCATTTGTTACTTGGATTTAGTTTGAGCTTAGAAATATAATCAAATTTGATTTATTGTGCAATTTTATTTTTTTAATCAAAATTTATTGTGCAATTTTATTTACTAAAATGTCCATCATTGTACAGTCGATGTGAGCTTTGTTTCCTTTGCATCTCTGAATAATTTCCAAAATCAAGGACATTCGTTTGTGTTGATAAAGTTCATATATAATAAGGTCTCTTCGGACCCTCAAACAAAAACTATACTATAGAAATGGATTTCAGAAAGTGTTGAATCAGCCCAGAATAAGATGATCTCGCAATTACCCAAAATAAAATTTGACTGACCTCATAGCTTCACTCCATTCCTAAATCAACGGCTGTGAATTGACCGAATCTCAGAAATCAGAGCACCCACCGTTTCGTTCCCAATCGCCGAAGCGAGTAGGTTCGGGACCTCTGGGACCTCCGATCTCACCTGTCTCTTTATTCACTTGAACGCCATCACTGTCCTCATATCCTCATCTTCAGCATCGCCATTGCGAGCACCATCGTCTTCACTTTCGACCTTCTCTGAGTTTTCCGACACCTCACCTTCTGGTTCCTTGGGGTTTTCTTGATGAGATTGTTTTTGCTGCGTCGAAGAGCAAGAAGTCGAATCTTTGGAGGCTTGGAAAGCTCGATTGCTGATGGAATAGACGGCCCAGATTGCTCGCCGCCGCTAGAAGAGAACTCTCCCTCGGTCCACAGAGGGAGACCGGCGGCGCCTGAGCTTTAGGCAGATGAGGCGGTGGGACTCGTCCTTTTCGGTAACGGTGTCGTTTTGGTTGTGGGCCTTGTGGCCCAAACACACACCGTACACTAATCAAATTGGCAATTACAAGGGCCAATTTCTTTGTTTTTAGGCTTAACAAATCTGGCTGTCGGAATTGGGTTTCATTAACTATCCAGCGTCTCAGAGAAACTTGCCATTGATCAAAATTCAAGTAATTGAAAATCCTATACATTAATCGATTGGTTCAGTAACGAAAATGCACTCCAACTATACATATAAAACTTCATGTGGTTTTTCAATATCTTTGTAAATCTTGCATGCTAGTTTGACTCACGCTAGTCTGTATTAGTTTGTGTGAGGCGTCTGTAACTTTGACCTAAATTTTTACTCAAAATATTTTATACAAAAATTGATTTTATACAAAACATTCCGATGAACAAGAAATAGTGAAATTTTAACATTAAAAATTTAAATTTCTCTTGATTTAATATGAGTATAAATAAAGAATTAAAGTTTATTTTTATCTTATTTTTACTCAAATTTGTATTTGAGGCAAGATCTGATTAATGATTAGAAATGCTCTTACAGTCACCAACTCAAAAGAACTTAAAATTGGAATGATTCTCAATTGCCCAAAGAAAATCCACATAAATTAATTTCAACTGAAAAATACAAAAACAAACTGTACATTATTCCTTTCAGCCCGCACAAGAGCCACCCTTCAGACAAAAGAAAAAGGGAAAATTAAAATTATAAACAAGATAACACAGAAAACAACACCTAAAAAGAATTCTAAGGCCAACACTCAACCCCACAAATTCCACCCCCCTCTCTGCGACTTCTCGAATCCTTTCTAGCTTGATGATAAAGCTCCTGTTGATTCATAACTTGGTGATGAAGCTCCTTTTGGTCATCAACAAGATAATCAGAAAATCAGTCCAGAAAATCATCTTGGTATAAACATCTTAGTACCTTGCTTTTGACCCTGTACGAGGAAGTAAAACCAATGTCTTCTATGTCATTACTGTCAGTTTGCTGCTGTCTTGCTGCCTATGAACGCTGTCGTCTTGTCGCCCGGGACTGGTACTTAAGTCTTTTTCATCTCTTGTGAGATAGTTGTCGACCTGAGAAGCAGCCTGCCGGCCTTCTGAGATTGCCCATACCACCAGAGATTGGCCACGGCGGCAATCCCCTGCGGCGAAGACCCCTTCCACATTCGTCGAGAAGCGACCATATTCGGCCTTGAAGTTTGATCTATTGTCTTTCTCCAAGCCCAGTTTGTCTCCTACCATCTGCAGGAATGAATAGCAAAAAAAAAATCAGAATCAAATTAATCATTTATAAGCAAATATTTCAAATCCCTCCATTTTCACCAACAATAAAGGAAAAAATAATAAATATATTCTTTATCCAACAGTTAAGAAGCATAAGGCACGGGCTTGAGCTCAAGTGTGCCACCTACACCTCAATACATATGACTCAATATGGGGAGGATAGGTTTCACGCCCCTCAGGGCCAAGGGATTAGAGAGGTATGGGCTGGAAAGAGGGGGGGGGGGGGGTGGATTACCCAATAAAGGGAGAGAAAAAAAGGAAGCAGAGTAGGTTCATTTTCAAAAGGATGCCTGGAGTAAAATTCAATTCAGTTCCATCCAAGTAGTAAGCATTGGTTTTCCGGAGGAAGTGGAAGTATCACCATCTTGATGCATACCATAATCTTACTAAGAAACAAGAAGAGGATCGCAGAATGGAAGGGTCAAATGCCTGGAACTAGACTTCATATTTGTTGTTATCATCAATATTTTAGAGTGCAGAAATTTGACAGCAAATCTTCAAGCCATCCCGTAGCTTTTCGAGTTTCAAAGTAGTTCACCCCAGAGATATCATTCATTATATGATAGTAGTTCAGAATACTAACCGATTCAGGACCAAATAACCCATTGCTAAAAGAACTAGATCAGCCTCAATCATCTCCTCAGAGCCCTCAACTTCCTTAAATTGAAACTTCCCCCTAGCATCCTTCTCCCAGTGGACGTGGACCACTTCCAATCCTTTCACAACCCCATTCTCATCTCCAACAAACCGCTTAGTCAATACCTCATAGGACTTTGGGTCTTTGCCAAATTTGGCAGCAGCTTCCTGGTGTCCATAATCTATGCGGAATATGCGAGGCCACTGCCAACCAGAAAAGACGGGCAAAAATTTGTATTGACATCTAAAAATAAGGCATATGAAATGGTAATAAAAAAAATTGGGTTATACATTTTCAAAATTACACAGCCTTTTAGTTGAGACTTCCTATCAAAAATCTGACATGTAATGCAAATATGCACCAATATGTTGGACCGCATTGCTCTTGATATTCCGTAAGCACAGGATCCCTTATTCTTGTTCTTTTTTCTTTTCCATTTTAAATTGATAGAATTAAAATCAAATCTCAGACTCCCTGCTCCTTTTTTCTCCCTTTTGAGTGGCACTGTCAACTGCTTACCATTGTACTATACAGGTTTTGGTATGCAGCATCAGACTTATCATTTTGCTGTGCTAGAAATTCTCTGCTAATCACAATCTCGATTGAATTTTATCAAATACTAACAATATTTAGAGAAAGTTAGTGAAATAATTTGCTATCCCGTGCTATGACCCACAGCAGAAGGCTATAAATTAAAATTGAGCAAAAGTTTTAAGGTGGTCAATTTTCATTACCTTGTTCCTATGAGTAAAAGTGATAACTGTATCAACTGGGGAAAAACTAAGAAAGGGGTCAAACCTGTGGCCAAGGGTTGCCAGGAGCCCTGGTTCGTGGCGGCTCAGGGAGAAGCTCTAAATTAACAATACTACTGCAACTGTGACGGATAGATGTCCCAATACAATCTGTGCCGGTGTCACCTCCACCAATTACCACTACCTTCTTGCCCTTTGCAGAGATGTATTTACCGTCCTGATGATTGCTATCAAGCAAGCTTTTAGTATTGGCGTGAAGAAACTCCATATCAAAATGGACTCCAGTGAGTTCGCGCCCAGGAACAGGGAGGTCCTGTAAATATTAGTTCACGAGTTATATTCTGTCCTGAAGATGGGGGGAAAGATCTGTTAAGTTTCACAAATTTTCTATTTATAAACAATCCAAACAAGCATCATCCATAACTCATTCTCCATGACTCACCTGGGTTTTGTGGCGCCTACCGCCAAAACAATAGCATCATTCTCCTGGCGAAGCCGATCCAATGAGTAAAAAGGATCTTTTCCTACATTAACATAGACCACAAAATTCACACCTTCCTTTTCCATAAGGTTAACCCTCCTTTGGACAACATCAACTTTGTCAGTCTTCATGTTAGGGACCCCATACATCATAAGTATTAGCAACAAACCACAGCTCGGCACACTCAACAGTAGTGAGAGTCAATGGAGCAATAAGGAAGCACAAGATTCTTGGAGAAAAAAGGGAGAAGACTCTCACAATATTGCCGAAATTAGTGGAGAGACGTTGAGGGGCATTGGAGCTCTAACTGCAATAAGTTTAAACCAAAATAATTATCCAGCAAGTCCTAAAAATCAGGAAAAATCAGACCATTTGTAGCAGCAGATTTTATGAGAAATCAGACCATTTGTAGCAGAAATCAGTGGAGAGACGTTGAGAGGCATTGGAGCTCTAACGGCAATAAATTTAAACCAGAATAATGATCCAGCAAGTCCTAAAAATCTGGAAAAATCAGACCATTTGTAGCAGCTGATTTTATGAGAAACCATTTTGTAGCAGATTTTTTGGAAATCATTTCGTTGTATTACTTGTTTAAATACTCCTCTTGTAATGCCTAATGGTTCACGTTGCCAATTATTGAATAAGAGACATATCAATTCAAGCTTTCTTCTTCCTCTGTTTTTATCTTTTTTCCTCTATAAGTCCACCAATTCAATCAGCACGCTCAATCACAGTCACAATATGGCCCATTTTGTTCAATTGATCAGTGGCAGCCAATCCAGCAGGGCCACTTCCAATGATAGCAACTCTTTTTCTGTAAGAGTGAGGAATATTAGGATCAGTTTCGCCATGACATTTCATTCGAGACAATATAGTACTTGTGGAAAAGTCCAATAAAAGAAACGGAAGTTTCTAAGCTTAAAAAAGAATCTTAAGACTTGCAATCACACCAGAACAGAAAATATATATTTTTTTAAAAGTGGAACACCTCTTAAGATGTGGGAAACTACAGTCAAGCTAAAAATCAAAAGCATACCCAGTTCTCCTTGAGGGAGGCCGTGGCACCATCCATCCCTCCTCAAAAGCCTTGTTATCAATGGATTTCATCAGGGGAAGCATAGTTTTTAGGGAACGCGATCCTGGAGGTACTAGAAGGTTCATTGCAGGTATTCAGTGGTAAATCACTAGAATCTGCATTCCGGACCCCAGTACAGGCCAATGTCAACATGAGTCTTGACTGCATCCCTCAAGCAAAAATCCAAATTATGTATGATGGGACTCTTCTGAAAAGCCCTATGATGAAGACACGTGTCCTCGGGGGTTCTAGAACAATGTTGCTCGGGGTCAAGCACCATCGGCAAAAAGTATCCTCTCCCCCAAGGTACCTCTCATATAGGATCACATATTCGGTGCATTATACAACGACACGTGTCCTCGGTCACCGTGTACCTCGGAAACACACCACCCCTCGGTCCCCCGAGGTGAGGCTTTCCTCGGTGCCAAGGGTCACTCCACCCTGGACGCTCCCTCTACTCCCAGATAAAGCTACTGACGTACGGCACATCAGCCTATGCCAGTCTAGACTATTCATCATGACCTCATCTTACACAAGTAATGTCAGAACATGCTGGAACACAGAAGTCATAGCCAATACGTGACGGACGCGTGGCGTACGATATCACATCAAAAACAGGCAAACCGCATGCTGTTGCTGACATGCGTTTTGGGAAGCAAACGATAAATTGCACCCTTCTGTTGACGAGACCGCATTCAATGCGGTAAGGTTCGGGTATGAAAGGCAATAAATACTCCTATTAAAGAGCATTTATTGCATCCTTCCCGAAAGGAGCATATTGTACCGTCGGCGTCCCGACGGCTCAGCATTGATTGCTCGGGACCCCGAGCAATCAATTAGAGAAGACATTCCTCATCAAATCAAAACACACGCTACCTGTGCCTGATGATCACCTACTGACAGCAATCATGAGCTTCTAAGGTATAAATACTCCTCCCAAAAGGCAAAGCGGGTATGCAATCACAAACTCACTACTACAAAAGAATCCTTATCAGTGTTTTCTCCTTCCTCTCTCTCATTCAAAGACTGACTAGACCGTCGGAGGGGATACGCCGGAAAACACTCCGGCGCCCTTCTAACTTGTTCTCCTTTGTTCCAGGAAATACCTTTCACACGTACAGGATCGTTCTTCCTTTCCCAGGATCTTCCTTTGCCGTTCCAGGTTGCCACCGTACCTTGTAGGCTGTTTCAAGCAGTGTGCTTGGCCACTCAACCGGCTCACTCAAAGTTCACCAAGGGAGAGAGCTGTTCCCAATATTTTTTATATTGTGCAGGATCTTGCACGCACAATGTAACTTAATGATATTTGCTTCCAGGTTAGGTCAGGTTATCATACTTCTGCCAATGATCTTTGCTTCCAGGTTTGGTCAGGTTATCATACATCTACGGGGTGCAGTGCCTCTGCTTTCTAATGCATCCAGTCATCGTTATATATTTTTATAAATTTCTGCGTTCAAAATGCAGGAAATTTCTGCGTTCAACAGCACTGCCTCATCAGTATCACACATTTTATTAACATTACAATCCAAGGACTGTACACAAAAAAAAGTAGAACGGTGTCATTAACTTCTCTAGTTTAAAAAGACATCATTGACTTAAATAATGGAGGAACATGTCTGGCCTTAGTAATATCTGACTTAAACTTCATGACCTCTCATTCAAAAAAAGCCGCACCTATTTAACTAACCATTTTTAAATTAACAACATCATCATCCTGCTTATCCGAAAAATGGGAAGTTTCTCCTAAACAAGTATATGTGAGCATGCAAACGGATCACAGATACACCCAATGGCATGGAAAACAATTAATTCACTAGTTACTAAACAACTTACCAATTTACATTTCCCCGGAGTGTGTTAATTTCCCCATTATGGCCCAAGACACGCATAGGCTGAGCACGATCCCAGCTCGGAAATGTGTTAGTTGAGAACCTAGAGTGTATCTGCACCAAGAATCGAAAAAACCATATTTTCACTCCAAAATGTGTCCACATTATGAAAATATGGGTTCTTAACTTCATAATTGGAAATGAAATCGTGTTCAGGGCACTACAATTATGATATACTGTAATGACAGTACAAAACATCATGGAAACCCTAAACTACCTTGACCAAACACAATTTCTTTTCAACCACCAACATGAAGGTTTTGTCCTTAAGGACTGATCATAGAAAGCAAGGCAACAAGTTTCTGCAAACATGATTTACTTCATAATGAGGTAATTTACCAACTCACCCAAAAAATCCAATCTGGCATCCAAATTCAAACAGTAATCTAGGGAGTGGAAGAACTTAAGAGATCATTCAAACTTCAATGCCTCAGAAGTCATTCCTCAACCTTGAAATCTCTCCAGTTAACTGGTTCATCCCATGCTGTTCGTTGCCAAAGTATGGAGTCAGTGTACAAAGAAGAAGTGTAAATGAAAAATATATTTACCAGGGCCATGTAGCTTGTAAACCTTTCAGTGCCAAGATCTGCATAGTAGTACTCCTTCAACTGATTGGGCTTCAGCTGACCCTTGTAGACAACAGTCCTGCAGAAACAAGGTAAGGTCTTCACAGTCTGAAAGCAGAATTCAGCAAATGAACATATCGGCAAGACACTACAGCAAACAAACCTTGAGGAAAGAGAACATATGTAGAAGTCCCTCACACCACCATGTTGGAGGTTTAGTGCAGCTCGAATAGCTACCACCATTGAAACCCCCCTTAATATATACATCTGCAGAATGAAAAAGAAAGACAACAAAAAGTGCGAAGACCAGGAGTCTTTCAAAGGAAGAAAATAATTGGATGAAACTCTCAAATAAAACACATTACGGGAAATAAGAGAGGACTGAGAAAGTATCCTGCAAGAGTCACATGGTTCATCAATTTCACCTCATTTTTACAAAACAAATAGATTGTAAAATCAAGGGAACTTCCCCATGGGAAATCATGCAACAACCCCAATATTGTGAGTACTTTCTTCCAACAATCCACTGGAGGTACTAGTGGATTGTATTCAATCAGGGGAAGCCAGTCCATGCACAACTGACAAATCATGTAACCCCAATATTGTGAGTACTTTCTGCCAAAAATCCACTATAGGTACTAGTTATCATGGATTTAGTCAGGGGAAGCCAGTGAATGCAGAACGGACAAATCATCCCACTTTCAAGCCTAAAAACTGATTCTAGCATAACAGAGAGAGATTTACCTGTTGCTCAAAATCAGCTTTTGACCGAGGCGTAGGTGTAAAAAACACTTGCTCAATAACAGGTTCTATCTGCAAAGCAGATTTGCCCAATCCTGAGTTATCTGTGGGGACCATGCGCCACCCAAGTACAGTATGCCCAAGAGACTCGGCCACCTACAAATATATTTCATAAATTCTCAGAAAACAACATCAAGACAAGATATAAGAAAATTCTAGCAATTAATCGGAATGGCAACTCAAAACATAGAAATCCGGAACTGTGCCAAGAATTCCATTTCAAATATTTGAGCAATAATGAAGATGCTCCTCGCTGGAGTTCACGTAAAAGAATAAGAATATAGATGAAGTCTCCACTAAACTAAACATAGACAGCAAAAGAAATGAGAACAAACAGGCCAAATTTTAGCTAAGTTACCTTTGTAAATACAATTTTGCTTTGTTCCCTTCGACTTTCAGATGCAGGCAAGAAGAACATGCCCACGGCATATTGTCAACGTGGTGCCAGCTCGAAACCAATATCCTTAGCAACCTGACCAAACAAAAATCACCACCTAGTAGTTTATAATAAAGTAAAGGAGAATATGGCCTTGAGCCAAAGACAACAAGAGTAAAACCGCTAGAAATTAGAATTCAGTTAAGGTATTAGAAACACGCATACTTACTAAACATTTTTCTCTTTTTGTTTCTTTCCCCTTATATATTCACGCAAATTTGAAACGAAAATTACATAACCAAATAAATTCATCACAAAGAAAATAAAACGGTTAGCTTTCAAAAATAAAAAATAGATTCCCTGTCGAGAAAGGTTGTTAATAGAAAAACGTCTTCATAGTTATTACCTCAAAAGAGAAATGAAAGTGAAGTTGATAAACACACCTCCTTATAGAAGTCATGAGGAAGAGCTACGAGAATACCAGCTCCATCACCAGTATTTGTCTCACAACCACAAGCGCCTCTATGTGACATACGTACCAACATCTCTATCGCATCCGTCACCTACAGAGCACAAGGACAGTTCCTTCAAAAGTGGAATAAAATATTTGCATTGTCATGTGAGTTAGCTGTCTCTTTGGATCCTTTTTTCTTTTACATTCCACTGATAGATAATGAGAAGAAGTGCCTTGGGTTGGACAAAAAGTTGGAGGTCACAGCTAGTGTATTGCGTTCCTTCACTGATATCTTTTACATAATCCATATCTTCTTTCAATTTCGTACCCGCTTTATTGCTCCTTCTTCGCGAGTATTTGGAAGAGGTGTTTTAGTGGAAGATGCTTGGGCAATAGCAAAGAGATATTTATCATCGTACTTTTTAATTGACATTCTAGCTGTTCTTCCACTGCCACAGGTGAGAAAAGATTTCTGCATTGCCAAAATGTCCTCACGTTGCAATTTTCCATTCCTCTCTGGACAATTCCAAATCCGTTTTCTTCTTGTTCAGCAATTTGGGGCAGGTTTTTTAAGAAACATTTTGAGCGGAGTCTAATGATTGGTTCTGCATTATTATACTAGTGTGTGATAATTTCTGAGGCATAAACAAGAAGGATGATTTTTGCCCTAGTGCATGTATGTTTTCTTTTTTAATTTTTTTTTTGTGGTTATTGCATGCATGTTTTGTCTGTAGTTGCAACCTTTTTGGCATCTAATTGCATATGCATTATAAAATCTTTCTTGATCTCGAATTTAGCCTGTTCACTAAAAATATTTGTCTTATTCTAGTGTTATTTTATCGGTTATCTTACAAAACTCTCTTTTGGCTGCTCTCAGCTACTGGGAGCCTTTTGGTACTTGTTTTCTATTGAACGTGAAACTACTAGCTGGCGAAAAGCTTGTGCAAGTAGGGCTGATTGTGTCCATGCTTCAGTGTATTGTGATGACAATAATGTCGGATTTATCACATTTCTGAATAATACATGCCCTATACAGACACCAAATGCAACACTTTTTGAATTTGGGATATTCATTGACGCTCTTCAGTCTGGTGTTGTCCAATCAACGGATTTCCCGCAGAAATTCTTTTACTGTTTCCGGTGGGGACTGCAAAATTTGAGGTATGAACATAAAAGATGGTATCTGTTCCTCTAATTTTTACTAGTGTTTCGAATAAAAATTGCAATGTTCTTTTCTTAATCACTGGTTTGTGTTGTACTCGAGTTGTACTTGTTTGACATTCATTGAAGCCAAGACCTAAAAAAGGAATGAAAAAAGGATGATCTATAGGAACATGCCACCAATACCCTTTATCTTTTGATGATTGAAGTGCATGCCACGAATATCCGATGTTAGATTGACTATTGTAGTTCACATGTGCGATTGGTGTTCTCATACATAGCATGAGTGCAAAGTTGAGGAAAGTTTGGTGACACCAGTTCTTCTAGATCTTCGTTGCTGGAAGAGAAAATTTATTAATCTTTTTTTTTTTTTTGGGTAGATAAGAAACCCAATTAGTCTTTCAACTATTTCATTTCACCAGATGGTACAAGGAAAGCAGAGGAGGAGGGACGGAATCTTGGCAGATGAGGTTCTTATGTCACTTTTTTTTATAGGAGGGTTTTCTTTGAAATGCCCTCCTTTCACTTGCTTCTAATCCTTTGGGACTGGATGTGTAAGCCGATAAGACAGAAAAGTAATTATGATTCATGGCAAGTGCTATCTCTCTCTTTGGCTCTGCCCGTATTTATGCATAAAGATATATGAGTGTGCATACCGGTATATATAAATATGTGTGTGTGTGTGTACGTTCGGATTATTGCTAAATATTTTCATTCTTGTTTTTGCTGGTCAAATCTTTACTACAAAGAGGAAAGAGTGCGATTTCTCAAATTGGTGATACTGGTGGCAGGTGGAGGCAGCGGACCACCTGATTTTCGGCCGCGTTTGATTTTCAGATGTGTGTGTGGGCGCGCGTTTGGTTATGGACGGAAGGAAGAGGAAGCAAATGGGTAGTTGTGCATGGGGTTTGGTATTGGGTCTTGCCTTCTGTAGTGGGTGAGTTATTTTCAAGGGTTATTATTCACATTCTAAACCAATGAATCTGTTGATATTAGGAAACTCCATTGCAATTTCAGGTTTGTCAAGTCAGGGAAATTCAATCCCAAAGTATGGGGGTTTAGTGTTGTTCTAGAAACAATAATATTATTAGTTGGATATGCTTTGTTGATACAATTTATCGCCTAGATTGATAGATAAATAATAAGGGATGTCAATATATTTATCCTTACATCTAAGGACCATTAACAACCATAAAGGTCTTTCCAAAAACTTAGAGATGGGTTGGAGGGGTAAAGTGTTATTTTGAAAATATTAAGGTATCTCTTAAAATATTGATCATCATATAACAACCATGATATAATTCCATAACCTCTATAGATGGGAAATCATTTTAGTTTATTAGATTTCAATTAAGCAAGCTTGCACAAATGTTAAAACTCAAATGTCATGTGGCCATGAAGAGGCATTGCAAAATATAAAATGAAGTGACTAGATTTATGTTTACCATAGCAAAACAAGGGAAATTTTGCTCACAATCTCTCAGTCTGATAAGGATTGTTGGCTTGATTTATTTTATGGATGCACTCATTGCTACCTGCATTACCTCAATCTTCAATATCCGCACTGAGAGAATCTACAGAGTTACCTGACAACAATGGTAACTCTACAACATCTTTGTTCATTTCATGATTCTCAGTTGGGATCTCTTGTGGAGTTAGAAAAGGCTTTGGAGGCATTTTCAGGAGTGCAACATCTCCTTCCAGCATCTCCACCACTCTGTGCATAGAAGGACGATCAATAGGCTTCAGTTGTATGCACCAGAACGCTACTATGATCATCTTCTTAACCATCTTCTTTTCCTCCTCAGTGGTAGCTCCCAAATCAATGTCCTCTCCTTCGCTGTATCGATCATAAACCCATGAGGGGAAGTAAATTTGGCTTGGGCGATCAGCAATTGCATTCAAATTCTTCCTTCTGCCCCCCATTTCCATTAACAACATTCCGAAACTATACACATCAGCTTTGTATGAGACACCTCCTATGTTTTTGTAGAACAATTCTGGAGCCATGTAACCCATTGTGCCTCTTGCTGCAGTCAAAGGCACAATGCTATCATCTATTGAATATAGTTTCGCAAGCCCAAAGTCAGAAACTTTTGGAATGAAATTCTCATCAAGAAGAATGTTGTGGGGCTTGATGTCGAAATGTAAGATTTGCATGTTACAACCTTGATGTAAATATTCAATCCCATGAGCCACTCCGAGAGAAATCTTATACATTTTTTCACAACTCAAGGAGACGGTTTTTTCTTCTCGTGGGAAAATATGTTTTTCAAGAGACCCATTAGGCATGAAGTCATATATAAGAGCGCGCTTTGAACCCTCCGCGCAGAAGCCAACGAGTCTCACCACATTAAAATGGTGAATCCTTCCAATGGTAGCAACCTCACTGATAAATTCTTGCCCAGTAGCTTTGGATTTGCCTATCTTCTTCACCGCAACAAGGGAGCCACTTCGAAGCTTTCCTTTAAAGACAGTACCAAAGCCTCCTTCGCCCAATTTTTCATTGAAACCATTAGTCATCTTCCTAATCTCTGAGTAACTATACCTTATGGGCATCAGGTTGTTGTGTCTCTGTAGGAAGTCTTCAATGTTGTCAGAGATTGATAGGTGCCGCCTTCTCCATTTATAGTCCACTAATGCGAGAAGAAACGAAATCCCACAAAAAGACCTTGCTGCAATAAACCATCCTGTGCATATTTTAATAGAAAAAATTAATGTGAATTCGGGAATTTGAAAAAGAGAGATACTTATGGATTCCTTTTTCTTTTTGTGTGGTGGGGCAAGAAAAAGGCTTGTTTTACTGAATAGTTTAAACTGCGATTGCAAGTCAGACTTATCAAAAACATGTCAATTTGAGTCACATAACATTGTCCTTCAAGCATAGGGCGATTTGAAAATCCGAAATTTAAGTACATGCCAAAATTACATTGAGGGTATTAACTTACCGATTGGCTTGTATGCTCTATTTAAAATATCTGTCAGAAATTGCAAAAGAGAGCAACACCAGAGATAAGATGTTAAAAAAGTTACAGGAAGAGGCTTATAAATACAAAGGAAAAGGAGAAAAGAATAGAGAATACTCACAATGCAACCGTTGAATCAAGCCTACATATTCCGAGCATAAACAATGTTAGCAACCCAAAGTGGAAATTTTTAAAATTGAAAATAGAAAAACTCTTCGTACTATGTTACTTAAGAGATTTTTAGTAAGATCGTTGTGGTCACAAGATAGATCTGACATGTTTTGTACGTTGATAATCTTATTTAGTTGAAATTACTATCAAGAGAATTTTGTAACACCACAGCCTTTTGATTTCTCATTTGCAAACCGAAATGATATTATAATTTACTGGCATGACTTTTTAGAAATACCATATATTATGACTTTGATTATGATTTTCCTATTTTCTGTTGTGATCCTATGATATCATTTGATCCACCAATAGAAGTATGGTTCAACTTAGCACAGTTCTTATCTTTCATGCATAATGCAAAAATCTAATGTGCCTTTACCTTTATCTAATTTTTTTGGTAATTGTGTTTTCCTACTTTATTCGTAAGACTTGCTTGAGAATGTTCAGGTCTATAGCCTCCACTTATTTTATTTTTTTGGACTAAGGCATTCACATATTAACATACAAAAAATTCACATAGTAATTCAAGCACACTGACTAAGAGAGAGACCCACCAACCAATTCCTCTTTAAAAGAGGAATTGAGAGTAGGTCACTTATACTTTAGTCTTTGGTTATAGCCTCGACTTATTACAACCTAGCTATACCCATTAAATCAAAGTTTTCGGGACATAGTATGTATCAAAGTTTTTCTATCTTGCTGAGAATTTTATAATTTATAATTGAAACCAGGAAAAAAAGGGGGTAAAAAAAGATGCTCAAAAGAGCCCCTTTTAGGAATCCAGTCCAAACACTTCTCTTTCCTCCACCTAATAACTACGATCTAAACATATCAAACCTAGCTTACTTATTATCATGTTCCCACAAAAAAGAAAAAAAAAAGGAAAAATAATATCAAAAGGCAGAAATAAATCATGCAATGTTCTTACAATCTTGTAATTCCTAGCTTGTAGGGATGCCCAATCAACATGCGTCGGGCGGAAAATTTAGTTGCTTAGAAAGAAAGAGTAAAAAGTGTATATTTTCCAACAAATTAAATTGCAGACAAGAATTATGTTGAGAGCATCAAAGCAAAATCTTTACTCACTCACAATGGAATATACGGGTGTCAAGAGCAAAAGTTAAGTAAGAGCAGTAGTCGCAATAGATTCTATTTTTTTCTCTGGGATAGCATTCGCCGCCTCTTGCTTCACAATGTCCACAATAGACGCCGTACCATCTAAGCTCAAACCCATATGCGAGCCCGTCATATAAGTCCGAAAAAGAATTGTTGACTCCCGTCAGGAGCCGTAAAATATTTGCTGTTGTCCAAACCAGATTGCTGATGCTGCAGGAGTCCTCCAGTTCTGAGATAACCATACCTCCGGCTACAACATAATTATGATTTTTCAATGGAGATGGTGAAGTAGAGTTGGAGGTGGAATTAGTGTTTCTTTTATCACAAAAGCCAGTGTCCACATATCCACTCCTAATTACAGGACTTTGGCAGCTTATGAATACAGCAACATCATAATAATATGAATCTGAAAAAAAAGGAGTGGCTCTCCGTGACGGATAGAATCTCAAAAAAGAACCACCTTGCGGAGAATAAAGTGGAAGAGAAGAGCAATTATCCTTGTCTAGACCGGGATCAACAAGTCGAATGGAGAAGTTGTCATAAGTGATTGCCTCCACGTAGAAGGAGTAGTTGTATTTGTAGTCGTACTCTGCATGAGGATGAGTTTTAAGGTATAGTATGGTGCGATTGTTGTTGCAGGCAAGTTGGTAGTCGCGAAGACCACAGTGCTGGGGATCGCCTTCCAGCCGGAAAGGGTAGTGTATGTCACGGATATTCCCGCAAGACGAAGTGCAGTTCTGATCATTCATTTGCTGGGCTTTGCAGCACCTACTTGTTACGCACAACACAATTGGTAGAAGAAATTTTTGGATTACAAGCAAGAAGACCCTCCTCCTCTTTCCTCCTGACACCATAACTAGAAACGCAAAGCTAAGGTGTACTTATCTCCAAATCTTCTTTAATTTGTGGCTCCATTCATCTGTTTTAGAGCCAGAAAGAGTGAAATACATACATCTTTGATGCCAAGATGATGTGATTCGTTGGATGATAGTGGGCCCTCCTTTCATCCAACGGCTTACAGTATGCTAATGGACACTTTTGGTGCACACAGACACATCATTTCGGAAAGGAAAATATTATATAATTCAAAAAAAATTCAAAAATTAAAATTCAAATATACGTCATTTTTTTTGAAAAGATTGATAAGATCTACTCATCCAACGGATAATATGTATTTGAATTATAATTTTTAAAATTTTATTTGAGTCTTATAGTATTATTTTTTTCGAAAAGATGACACCCACACCCCATCTTTAATAACTTCGCTTACTTTTTCGAAAAAGGTTATTTAAACCTAATTTAATAATTTAATCAGAAAATCTAATTTAATATCGTCTTTAAGTTAAAAGTAAATTTTATTTAGCTCTACAACTCACAATTAATTGAATTATATCCTGACTAAATTTTCAAATTCAATTCCACGCTGGAATCTTTCTCAAAAAAAAATAATATATATAAAACTGACCGGCTAAGTCAGTCATGGCTTCAAATGTCAAAGTCAAGTCTACGAAGAAAAGCAAGTAGATTAAAGTTTCACCCTAACCAACACGCTTAGATGAGTAAAGGTGCATTTACGACTTTTGATATAATTATAATTATCACTTGTTAGTTTTATATCATGAATTAATTAACACAAATAATATTTATTAAAAAATAAAAATTTAAAAATAAGAAAACAATAAAAATATGACACAAAGATATAACATACTCATCTTGATATACTATTCCTACATCTATGGATCAAGAATTTATATTATTCATTGAAATTTGATCATTGTATAATGTTTAACCCTATTTATAAGAAAAAAAAATATTGTAATCTAAACTTATTCAAATACAACTTAATTTTTATATTTCTTATCACATGTTTAATATACTTATTCAACTTTTCTAATTTGTTTCCTATTTGACTAGGTTACTAATAAACCTATCCATGATTTATTAGTACTTTTTTATTAATTGCCTAACAAACTCTCATATCTATAGGACTTTTATCGTATTAATAACTCATTGTTAGATATAGATACGTCATATATATAGGAATAAATAATAATGTCATTGCCTTAAATTGTTGATCTACTCCACAAGAGAAAATTCAAAATATCTCCAAGTCCTCGTTATTTTCAAGTATAAATTGTATTTTGCCAAAAAATAGGATATCCCATTCAATTTTTTGATGTACACTTATTGTGATTGTCTGAAAGATAGAAAAAATAAGCTTGGTAAGAGTTTGGTCAAAACTAATAAGATTAGATCTTTCATATATAGTTTTTCGTCGTACACTTGGAGTAAGGGTCTTAAAGAAGAAAAATTTGCTCAATAAAAGTTTCCTCGAAACTAACAAGGCTAGAGTTTCGTTGAAACTAATGATAAGACTAGATATTTCATATAGTTCTTTATCCTATACTTAATGTAGGGGGTCCCAAAGAAGAAAAATTTGTTCGACAAGAATTTCCTAGCCAAACTAAAAATTTCATATAATTTTTTGTCATACGCTAAATGTAGTGGTCCCACTAAAAGCAAGCATGCCCTATGGATAAATTTATTTAAGAACATTGATCCAACGACTTACATTATGCTAAGAGCAATTTCAAAGGGAGATGATATTTTGGGGTGTCAAATTATTTATTTGTAATTTTGAACAGTATTTTAACATTCTTGAATTATAAATTTGTTCCTATAATAGGTGCAAAAATGAGATGTCATTTTAATATTTTTTATTAAAAAATATAATTAAACTTAACTTTGATTACAACCTCTCTCCCTTTTTGCTATAATCTTACTAAACAAACACATAAATTTTTTCTGCAACATTTCCCTTTCTCTCTCTAGAGTTTGGAAAAATACCACCCCAAGAGCATTACTGCTATTTTCCAATTTTTGATGTCACTTTTGTTAGAGTGAAAAATTTTGAGTTTGAGATAATATTTTGATAATTACATGCAGTTATGAGATTGTCACATCTGATGCCACTCCCCTCTAATACATACTTTTGGTGCGCACAGACACAAAATTTTCAAAAGGATGACACCCCCATCTTTAGCAACTTGCCTTGCTCCTTTTCTGAGAAATATTATTTAAATTTAATTTATTAACTTAATTAAATAATTTAATATAATACAATTATTGTATTGAGGGTAAAGTCTCATTCAACTTTAAAACTCACAACAAATTCAACGAATATAGTGAACTATAATATTGATTGAGTTTCCAAATTAGACTCCTCATTAGTTTTTAAGTAGAAACCTATACAATTATTTTTTCGAAAACTGACCGATTAAATCAGTCATGGCTGCAAATGTTAAAGTATGTCTACGAAGAAAAGTTACGCCGTAACCAACACGGTTAGATGAGTAAAGGTGCATGTACTGACTTTTCTTTGTTATCAGATTTTGTCAGTCAAATTAATTGATATAATTATCAATATAATTGCATGTTAATGGGAATTAGTAATATCCATCAATCCAATTTTATTTATTTATTTTTTTTATATATTCACTGATGCAAAAAATATGATTAAAAAAATTATAATTGTGATTTTTGATCAATGACAGGGTACAGTCCCAACCATTAAATTAATGATTTATATTAATGTAATACCCAAAATTTGGATAAGTGTAAGTACTTGTAGCCATATATTATACAGATCTTTTCTAGGTGTCTTCCATGATGTGAGGCATTGCTTTTCGAGTCAAAGTCAGTCAACAAAGAAGAAACTTATTAAATCAAAATATAACAAATATGCTCTAATATTCTTTGTTTAGGGACCCCACCTAAAATGGGCCTGTCACTTGAAAAGTCAAATTTAGTTGCTGAACAAAAATAAAAAAATAAATAAATTAGATAAGACTTTAATTGTATCTGTAACATTGTTAGATATAGATAACTCATATAGGAACAAATAATAATGTCATTTAGAACTCATTATTTACCTTAAATTGTTGATCTACCCCATAAGAGAAAATTCAAAATACCTCCGAGTCCGCGTTATCTTTACGTATAGATTGTATTTTGTCAAAAAATAACATGAATAGATATCCCATACAATTTTTTGATGTACATTTATTGTGATTGTCTCAAAGAGAGAAAAAATAAGTCTAATAAGAGTTTTCTCAAAACTAATAAGATTAGATATTTCATATATAATTTTCTGTCATACACTTGTAGTAGGGGTCTCAAAGAAAAAAATTTTGCCCCATAAAAATTTTCTCGAAACTAAGAAGATTAGAGTTTATTTGAAACTAATAATAAACTAGATATTTCATATAGTACCAAAGAAAAAAAATTTGTTCGATAAGAGTTTCCTCGAAAAAAATAAAGCTAAAAATGTCATATAATTTTTTTTTAGCGTACACTAAATATAGAGGTCCCACCGAAAGTGGACATGTCTTATGGATAGATGATTGTTATATGCTGGACTATTAAGGCATTAAATACCGTAAAAGAATGATAACATTAATAGGGTTTTTTTTCAGGGCTACTAAATTTTGTAAATCGGACTTAATAAATTTTGAATTGTACCATTAAAAATTTTGTTTTGAAATTTGACCTTAATAAAGTATACCATCTATTAGAAGTTTTTTTTACCTTTTTTTTTTAATTGTTAGTGTAAGGTACTTTTTATAACCTTTTAAAGTATTTTTGTGCTTTTTAATTAATTTTTAAGTTGTAGTTGTATTGTATTTTTTGTTTCTTGCCCTTGCATGAGTTTGCTCTATTCTTCCAAGCTTAATCCTATGTTTAGTAGTACATATATCCATAGATATAACCATATTCTTTATATTCTAAGATGGATATAGCTCACTTTTCTATTACCACTTTCATTTAAATTAAATATCTATAAGGAAAGGAGAGGCCAAGCAGCGGTCCACACCTTGGGAGACTGTTTGGTATTTCTTTGGAAAATGGTCATCTATCGCATTCCCTTCTTCCTTCTTCTAGTAGTCTTCGCCGGAAATTGTGGTGCCGGCAAAGATTATGAGTGCAAGGTGACAAGATGCAGCGAATTCGGACCTGACATCCGGTTCCCCTTCCGGATAAAAGACCGTCAGCCAGCTCACTGTGGCTATGGCCCTGCCTTTGACCTCTCTTGCACACAAAACAATGATACTGTGTTTGATTATGACCTCCAATTTCCAGTGAGAGCATCGACCAAGAGAATTCTGCTTCCATTATCACTCAAGGTTTTGGTCACGGATATCCACTATGAATCTCAGTGGATGAGTATCAATGTCGTGAATGCAAGTTGTCTCCCACGGTGGCTTCCAATTCCAACCCTGTATAATAATAGTTCATCATCTGCCGGCTCTCCATTCAAGTTTAACCACGTCGATGATCCCGAATGTGGCTATATGCTCTTCAGTTGTCCCTCAAACAAAAATCTCTCACCATACAGTATAGTTCAGGTCACCTGCCTTAGTGGTCCTGGTCACCAAGTGTATGCCGTTCCTACATTTGGTTGGTACACGTACATCGATGAATCTGTACCGGACCTAACATCCTGCACCAAGATGTATAACATTTCATACGTTCCACAAAAAATACTTTTGGGGGATGAATCACACCCTACTCAATTTTATTCACGCCTTTCTGGTCTGGGATGGTCCACACCTTCTTGTGGATATTGTGAAGCAGAAAATAAGTACTGCCGATTGAAGAAAAACAGCAACCCCCAACCTCAAACTGAATGCGTCGACATTCCTATAACTCAACCCAACTCAGGTACTCCTAACTAGTTTTTCTGAGTATTCGTATTCAATCATGTCCCTTACAACATATATATCTCTTCTTTGAATTTAAAATTCTTGTGTCCTTTTCAGATGCATCCTCGCATTCGCATAGACAAGTTGTTGCAGGTGAATATATATGTTTACACTATTTTTTGGTATCGTTATTTGTATCAAGGACTTAAGTGAGAATGGTTTATAATTTGTTAAGTATGCTTTTTGTTGCAGGTATCA